TATATTTACCTGTCTAAGACAAAGAATTGACCTTTGACAGTTCCTCTTTGGTGATGAAGAGGGTAATCAGCTGACTTCACGAAATCATATGGCCAACTTTGGACCTCAACAACCATCTATATAATTGAATTAACATTTTTAATATGCATAAACAACAATCATAACTAGTAGAATCGAATAAAACAGTGTGTCATGTATAATAATGCAACCTGTCGTTTAGCATCGGTCCAAAGAAGATTACGAGATGAGGCAGAATTGAGATAAACAAAGACAGGGCCAAACACCTTCTTCCACGGCTCCTTGCTTATATAAGTTGTGTTCATCTCTTTTCCCGCGTAATGTAAACTTGTAAACATCTAAATTAAGAGACAATAAACATATTACTAACTTTTACTCCTGGATCAGTTGAACCATATATCATGTTTTAAAAACACTTTAGCATTAAAATAACCAAAACAAGTTTACTAGTCTAATTCATTTTGTTGAAACAGGATGGACTCACTGAAAGGGTGGTAGGTCCGACATGAGAACTGAGATCCTGCTTGACGGGCCCACAAGCACGGAACTCATCGCTGGGAGTAATCATCCAGAAACCAACAGATTGGTCCGACGAAATCCAACCATGCACTTTGTTGTCTTTGTCTTCCATTGAGTACATATACTTATCGTCAACCTACATCCAACGTAAGTAAACCAAGTCTTTTTTTTTTTTTTTTAATAAACCAAGTCTTTTACCCTTTTAACTGCTGTACTACTGTACTTCTAAGACTACATAAAGGCAAACTTATTACTTATACGATTTTTTTAAAATTTAGTTAGAGATCAATTTGTGGTAGTGTTCTCAGATGCTTATCTGGTGTAAGAATTCTCAAGCTTCATATATAAATTTCTTTTTAAAATAGTTTCAATTAAAAGTAGTATTTTGTTTGTTTCATTAGATTATTAGCAATGAAACAATATCAATTTCGTACAAAAAGTGTTGTTTACCTGCCCTTTAAATCTATGATTTTGTGGATTTATCAAACGGACAGCTTCTTTGTAAGCCAATGGTCTAGCACGACCATTGATTATATCTCGATCTGTTTCAGAAGGCATTATATTCTGTCGTGTATCCGATATAGCCATGAAATCAAATCTGAAATTGTTCCATGGTTAAAAAAAAATGATTTTGTTTTTAAATCACTACAATTTTACCGTTAAGAGATTGATTAAAAATTTGATAAAAATACAATAATGATTACTTTGTTGTGTTAAGTTTGAAAACGATCCTGGTTTGGTCCATATTCACGTCTGGCCAACCTTTTAACCTCTCTAATACAGCGTACATGTATACTCCGGACACACCACTTCGAATGATATACCTTTAAAGAGAACTATTTCCGATTATGATTTATCTATTCGGTTTTTTTAAAGAAAGCAAAAAACTAGAAAAACATATTTGTTTCTATTTTCCAAATTAGTATACCTTTTGTCTATGTTTAATGGGGCTACCATGCGACGTTGAGAAAAATTCCATTTTCTCGAAAAAGAAATTTCGACATGCTCACTTGTTTGATTTATAATATCGAATTTTGTTCCTATTAAACTGTAAAAACATAATGTTAATATGAACAAAAACTTATGCAATAGGGGGTATATGATTATGAATAATGTATATTTATTAACAAAATAAATTTAAAAAGAGAATTTCGGAAACTCACAGATCAGTTAGCGGTGTTTGTCCCGGTTCATACCAGACTACGTCCCAATACCTATATATAGTGATGATTTTGTATAATACTTAACTTAAAATTTTCTCAAAAGCTATATAATTAATCGCGGGAATATCTTACCCACAATTTTTAAGTTGGTTGTTCAACACATTGGCAAAGCCATTGTATGTGATTCTAGTTATCAAGCCTTGTGGACTCGAGAAGGTAACTTGGATGATACCGTTATCAACTACCACCTTAAACAGCAGAAAATAAGGATCAAATTAATCTCATATATAACAATATTTTTGAACGAATTTTTTTTTTGTTTTGAACGAAATATTATAATGTATTAAAAAGGTAAAATCCCATAGTAGCATGATTAAACCAAACAATTAGAAGATCATATAGACACGTTGATCGTACTTGGTTAGGACCAACTTTCTTAAGCGTGACCGGAGGAGATACGAGTTTTTGTCCCGGTTTTGCAATGCTTAATTTGTCTCTGTAATAAGAAGAATTACAATTTAAGAAAAGAATTCAAACTGTTCACTTGAATGTGCATGACCCTATGTGTAGCGGCACGTCGACTATTAACCATTGGAACAAAACAAATTATCTATTGTCTATCAGCAACAACAAAAAAACTAAGAGAAAAAAAACAGAATTATCAATTTGTCCCTAAAAAAAAACCACTAGTCCAGTGGAAATCTAATTAAGTTTCAATATAATTTTGTAGAACCCGAATTAGTGAAAAGACATAGATGTTAATGAGAGCATACCGTGACGTTTGCGAATGAACACCTTGTAGAAGGAAAATCAGAACGTAAACGTGAGTTATAAACCGAAAAAAGAGAGACCTAAATAGATATGTAGGACATCATTAACAATGAAACCA